ACCATGAGTCTGCATCCAATGCCTCACAGATGAAAGCTCCAAAATGTTTCAGGACGAATGGGAAGCTTTGGAAATGTTGCCCGGTAAGAAAGCTGTCTTGTTTTTTGTTTGTTTCTTTCCTATTATTTAACAAACAAATTATAATAGTGTCACACCTGGAGTAACTGACATTTTCAAGTACCTGAGATGACAGGTCTAGAACTTCTGCCATCTCGCCCGTCAACTTTGTGCTACCCCATAATAATAACTGTCAGCTGTCAACAACCCGACAACAAAACAGCCTTTTATCACACTGTTTTGCACTATGCTTGTCTCGCTAACAACCATAGTGGCAAGACCCTGAATGAAGGGAAACACTTGACGATGAACACTGTGAATAAGCATAAAGATGCTTTTTTGGATAATCCATCTGCTCTCCTACAAGGACATGCACATTGTGTATGGCCTACATTGCCAGCTCCAGTGAGGATCCGGAACAGACAGGACATTCGTCATACTCTTCCCTGTCCTCCTTTATGTGCCCACAGACTTCAAGGATTGCACGGCAGAATGACAGCGTCTCTAATAATGTTGCTGCAGAGGACAGCATCCCAGTCCTTCTGCTATAGGAAACAAGCTGCAGGCCATTTTGACCTCTCTGACCATGACTGCTTCCCCCTGTTTTGGCTCTTGGCTCTGGCTGTGAAGTTTAACCTCTATGTCCTATTAATCAGGGTGTGTAGCAGGCCATCAGAAGCAGCAGTTCGCAGTACAGTAAGAAAAAAATGTAAAATCATCACATTGCAAGTATTACAATTCTAGATCTGTAGGGTTGATGTGGCATTTTACTGTGAAAGCTTTCATTCGGAATCATGGTGGATTTTTTTTTTTAATTTTGTTTTAAAATATTCAATCAATCCACATCAATCATGTATCTGTGCAATAACTATGTGCCTGTTTCCTCATACACACATGCTAATGATTCCCCGCTGCATCTCGATTGCATCTTCTACATATGGTGCACCACTGCCCCCCTGTGGAAAACAGTAAAACGTGATGTCGTGCAGGGTTTAATTCTATTATTAAATCTAGTTTGTCAAAATCCAGCAGAATATTGTTTGATTTGGTAAAATTTATTAGCCTGGTTAGATTGGGGGGGAGGGGGGGGGGGGGGGGGTTCATCACTTCATCTGTAACATATTGAAAACTGGTCAAAATGAATAAAAGGTATGATTTAACAAACGTGTTTGTAAGGATGTAGGAACTGCATTGTTTTGACAACTGCTCCAAACCTTTAAAAATTCTAAATTTTCTGGGAGGCAAAATTCACAAAACTGGTATAAAAATAGAATAAATTAAACTCAGAAAATGCCCAGAGAAGTCGTAATTAAGTAGTTAGTCACTTTCTGCATTCAGAATTCCACTGGCTAAAATGCAAAGTGTCTGTAGGTGGCAGATAGCTGTAGACGCTCACAGTTGTTCCTCTCTCCTGACCACCTCTGTGCACAAAATGTTGTAAAATAAATAAATAAATAAATAAATAAAACTTTCCAATTTGGAGTCATGACTGCAGATGTGCTCTCACTTATTTTCTTATGTAATTGTGCATACCCCATCCTTTTCTCTCCCTTTCCTTAAGAATAACTTTTTGACAGTCTCTCTTCCACTGAGGCCATTTCATTTGGTGAACAGTAGATGGATCAGCTGAAGGGTGAGCTGTATCTCTTAGGTCCTGTGCCAGGTCTTTGCTGGATTTTTTTTCCTGTTTCTTAAGGACATGACTTTCTGATAGTTTTTTAGACCTGACACTTCTTCTTTTGTCCTTTACTTATCCAGTTTCTTAAACTTTTTTTTAAAAGACCTTTACAAAGCTTGAAGAACTATTGCTCAAGACTACTTTGAAAAATTATAAGGAACTTCAAAATCCATCCATCCATTCTCTTCCACTTATCCTTATCAGGGTCACGGGAGAGCTGGAGCCTATCCAGCCCTCCCTCCCGCCCAGCTACCATAGTTAGAGAGGTGAAGTACGCCCTGAATAGGTCACCACTCTGTCACGGGGCTTCTCCAGAATATGACAGTATATTACATCAATGTGTTTTATGGTTGATATTCATATTCTTCCATGAGCTAATTGAAATACTTAACAACATAGTGTTGATAGTTTAGATAAAATGTGATTTTTGATATCTGGTAATTTATTTGAATGTATTTGTATTATTTTGTTATTTTTGCAAGTACGGCCATATTGTTGCGTTTAGGATGCTCACTTTTGCATAACAGGAAATGTGGCACTGGGATAGTCAGTAACATGTTGCAGCAGCCATTCTGGAATGAATTAAAAGTTAAGCAAAAATGAAAAACAGCAGATCAGTTTGCAAAGCTCTCCCCTTCACTCCCTCCCTTTGTCTCAATAAGGGACAAAGTGAGCAGATGGCTCCTCACCAGTGCTGGTGAACATCAGCAGCAGCTTTGTCTCCTGAGTGGGTGTGTGCACGTGTGTGAGAGAGGGAGGGAGAAAGGGAATGTGAATTTTTTACATTTCTTAAGTGGTATGTGCATCACAGCAAGGCAACATGTGGACTTTCTCAGCAACAACAACAACAACAATAACAAAACGTTACTAAGACAAAGACCAAACTACAACATCATCATCAAAGAGAGCAATCACAATCTGCCAGTCTGTCTCCCCATAAAGACCCTATGAGGAGACAGAAGGAGTGAAAATGCATGCTCTGAATCAGAAGTGCCTACAGACAATCACTTCCTAGTTGAAAAAAATCCTGAATACAGAGATTTCTCAAATTTTCACGAGTCACCCTAGTAAATATTCTAGGGCCACATAAACCATTTTTAGATTTATTAATTAAAAGTAGCAGTGATAAATTAATAAGAAAGGACACATTATTTGTGTTTTGGTTGTCTAGGGATTCAAGAAATCAGTAGGTAATTAAATAATGCCTCTCCACTGGGAAAACTGGATTAAATTATTACCAGTTTTATTATTGTGGGGCGATCGTGGCTCAAGAGTTGGAGTTTGCCTTGTAATCGGAAGGTTGCCGGTTCGAGCCCCGGCTTGGACAGTCTCAGTCGTTGTGTCCTTGGGCAAGGCACTTCACCCGTTGCCTACTGGTGGTGGTCAGAGGGCCGGTGGCGCCAGTGTCCGGCAGCCTCGCCTCTGTCAGTGCGCCCCAGGGTGGCTGTGGCTACAATGTAGCTTGCCATCACCAGTGTGTGAATGTGTGTGTGAATGGGTGGATGACTGGATATGTAAAGCGCTTTGGGTCCTTAGGGACTAGTAAAGCGCTATATAAATACAGGCCATTTACCATTTACCTTGAATATGTTCATCACTGCTTTGGGCCATCCGTGAACCCTTAAGAAGACCAGCTAAATGGCAGCTATCACTCTGGAGCGAGTGTGTGTGGAGGGGGTGGGGGGTGCTTTCATATTTTTTGTCAAAGGAGACTCGGGATCAAAGACAATGCCAGAATTTTTGACAGAGTCCTTTGGGAGAATGGTACTGCCACTGGAGTTCAAAGATGTTCTGATAAGCAGGCTTCCTGCAGTCTCATATTTGAATTTCACTTTTATCTGTGCTGAAATTCTTTGCTGTTATTTTGTGTTTTTGCAGTTCTCACAAATTTCTTGACTTTTACAGTAGCTGCTCGAGACATTGCAGCAAAAGAAATTCTCATTGTGTCTTTAGGAGTCGGGCTCCCACAATTTACTCTAGGCAGCTCTTAGAATTTTTGCAATTCACCTCACAAAATTTAAAAGGTGTGTAATTTTCTGCTTTTAAGATCCATAAATTAATATAAAAGGTCTTATGATTTAACTTTTTGCCTAAGAACTGATCAGTCGTGCAGAATATCTAGTGCTGAATGATAGTGGCCATTGACCAGCACAGAAAAAACAGCATCTAAGAAGACAACGTTTGTTGCCTTGACTTATCAGAGTTGACTGTCAACACTTTTGCATTAATCAATGCAATTAATTAATGTGCAATTTTAAAAGGGATGCAAGTAGCATTTAATGGTGACCTAGCATTCTTTTTTTCCTAAACCCTAAATCCCTGACCATGTGACTTAACTCTTCAAGTCACGAGAAGTCAACACACAGAAACCAGGGAGCTGGTGGTAAATTGAAGTGTCATCAGTATGCATCAGAAATCATTTCCTACCAAAGGAGAGCAAAGCAGGCAGGGAGTAAGAGGGAGAGAAAGGGTGATCTGATGGGCTATGAAAGCATTAGTCACTACAGTCACTGTAATAATGTAATATATTCAGTCTATACAAAGCATTTTAGACTCTAACATAATATATTTAATATTGACGTAGTAAGATATGATTACCATCATTAGATCAACAAAATTATATGATAATGAAACACTCGTTTGAACTGGAAAATACTTCCAGGTGATGCTTTTTCCTCTCTGTCCTACCTGCTTTTTGCAAGTGCTTATGCACTTCAGGCCTTGTTTTCAGGTGCATTAGTTTAGAGAATTTTGAAAAAAACATGACCACTCTTCATCACTTATTATCCCTTTAACAGCACGATCTTCTATCTTCATACAGATGCTCTAAAAAGTGGCAAATACTACCTAGTTATGCATGAACAGTATTCTTTTTTTCAGAATCTTCAGTACAAATTCTCATAGGAATTTCCATATGCAGTTTTTTCCTAGGTTAGCTCTTCTTTTTGTTATTTCAGTTATCTATAGCATTCACCCCATGATTGTATTTTCAAAAACCTTTAGATGGTACCATACCACCTCTGAAAAGTTATGAAAATAACTAATGTGACGATATAACATAAAGTTGTGGATAATATATATGTAGTTTGTGACAGAGTAAGTGTGTTTTTGCTAAACTTTCAACTTAAAAAGCTATTTGTTTGTTTGTTTATGTATTATCATTAGTTGTTTGTTTATTATTTCTTAGAAAAATCCCATTGGTTACTATGAAGAGTCATATTTTGAAAAGACTAAACGGAAGTAATAATCATTCCTTCCTGCTCTGACTACGCTCGTGAATACTGTAGCTATTTATTACATTTGATTGATTTCAACAACTGATTAACTGTTTTCTCCTGGCTGTGTATTTCAGCAGACGAGTTACAGTGGTTAAGCTATAAGATCGTGGCGTATTATTGTCATATATTTATCAGCCACGTCAATATCCTCAGACCCCGTAAGTGAAACTAACTTCTCGGGCTAGCTTTAGCCAAGTTAGCTCGGCTGACTTGTCCATGGCACCTCTCCGGGTCTTGTGTATCCATGGATACCGTCAGAACGCCACCTCGTTCCGTGAGAAGACTGGGGCTCTGCGGAAGCTGCTGAAAAAACACGTAGAGCTGGTTTACGTGAGTGCACCCCTCAGTGTGCAGCAAGCTAACACGGAAGGTGGGTCACCAACACCTGTTGCTGAGCCTATAGCTAACTGTGTGTTAATAGAACTTAATAATTATTAAGGAATAGTTGTTATTACCCAGTTAAAGTAAATTGTGTAAATATTTGGGCTATCTCTCATTCAAGTTTTTCTACGAAAATGAGATATTGGGTGCAGTGATTTATTGAAACGTGCAAGTGTGCAAGGAGACATGGAAAAACAGAATATGAGGCAAAAGCAGAGTTTGTTCAGTTCTAACATGCTTTAAACTCAATGTTTGCAATGGCCATATTTGGTGTGGTTAAAATTCTACTGAGTTTTAACAAGACAGCTAAAATATAGCCCGAAACAATGACACAGCCTCCACCATGTTTTAGAGACGGCTAAAGACACACATTGTTGCACCTCTCTCTTGACCACCTCTTTATATACTGATGTCTAATTGAACCAAAAGTTTGGATTCATCACTCTATATGACCTGTTGCCATTCATTTTCAGTCCAGTTCTTGTGTGATTTGCCATACCTCAGTCGTTTCTCCCTGTTTCCCTTTCTAAGAACTCCTGAAAACATTTCTAATAAGGCTACAGTAACCAATAATTCAGTTCAACTCAGGTTTATTTATATAGTGCCAAATCACAACAACAGTCACTTCAAGGTGCTAGAGGGAAGATTGATCAACTGAAGAGTTTCTGTTGGATCTTTTAGGTACTGTTTACTGCTGTACATATTTTTTTATTAAGTCCTGGTGCTTCTTTTGTTCTCCACTTGTCTAGTTTCCTCTAAATTTTTAAGGACGCAGTGCACATCATGATAACTTTTAGATTAGATGGCACTTCAGAAATCACCTTGTCGGTGAAAAAATACAATTTTTATTTCTGTCAAACATTGTTGTCTTTGGCATTTTTCAAAAATTCACCTAAAGAAATTGTGTTTTCTTCTGACAAAGTGCCTAAAGATACAATTTAAAATTGTTTTCATATGTGTCGATATAACACTGGTTCATCTCTTGAGTTAGGTGCCTGTTTTTATTCTTGAATGATTCATAAGAACTGGAGAACTATTGCTCAAGACCGCTTTAAAAATGACAAGAATGTGTGGCTTCTTGAGAGCAAAACAAAGAAATAAGGGGTGACTCACAGTACAGAATATTATATCAGTATGTATTTTATGAGTAATTGACACGGGTATGTATATTCTTTCAGGCAATAATTCAAATACTTAACATTATAGTATTGGTTTTAAATTAAATGCTGGTTTAGATATGTGTTAATGATTTATTTATATTAGTTTGTTATTTTTCAGATACAACCATATTGTTGTGTTTTGTCATCCATATTCAGGATGCTCACTTTTGCATAACAGGAAATTTAGGGCTGGGCCGTTTAGTAATATGTTGCAGCAAGACCTTCAGAAAGCCTGGAGAACTATTACTTGAGACCACTTAAAAATATACAAGTCTGGCTGCTTGGAAGTAAAATATAAAGAAATGAGAGGTGGCTTGAGACTTTCACACAGGATTTTACGATAGGTGCATATATAACTGATCTATATCTGATCAGAGTTTTTTACCTGTTCTATGCTCTCATTTTAAATTCCACAGGTCAAATTCCACTGTTGACCAGGTCATCTGTGGAATTTGGCTGAAAACTCAGGACAGGTTGTCTGAAAACTAATTTTTATGTTTCTTTAATCTGAACATACCTTCCTGGTTTTATGTAATCTAATATATGTGCCAGATATCACTGTTAGTCGCTGTTTTGTTGTCTGCTGTCAGCCTGTTGCATTGGCCCGAGTTATTATGTCACATCAATTTAGTGCTCGCTAAATGTTCAAAGATGTTTTGAAGAAGAACTGAGAGACTATAAAAGTAGAAACAAATACCCACAAAAATATCAGCATCTGCATCAACCCCAAATCTCTGTTGCCTTCCTTTGAAAGTAGCCACTTTCCTCTTCTGTCCTTTCAGAAGTTGCAGATAAACAGAATGATTCAGCTCCTGAGTCTGGAGGTGATGAGGACCCCAGGGGTTGGTGGTTTTCTGACATCAAGGCTCGGAGTTTCAACGCTCAGCAGCAGTGTGAAGAAAGCCTGGGGCTTGACGAGAGCGTGACAGCTGTGAGAGAAGCTGTGAAGGACCAGGGTCCATTTGATGGCATCCTGGGCTTCAGCCAGGGGGCTGCTTTCGTCGCCATGCTGTGCTCAATTCAGGAGCAAAAACTGGAGCCGACGTTCGACTTTCGCTTTGCCATCATCGTCGCCGGTTTCCGCAGCGCATGTACGCAACACCAGAAGTTTTACAACTCTCCCATCCAGGTGCCCTCCCTGCATGTGTTTGGACTGGAGGACAGAGTGATCCCTGATAAGATGAGCAGGGAGCTCCTCCCCTCCTTCCAAGACCCTCAGGTCCTCATTCATCCTGGTGGTCATTTTGTTCCTGCCGCATCTGCTCACAGGCAGACGTACCAGGACTTCCTCAAGAGGTTCCAGTGAGATTCACAGCCACAGGAAGTCTATGTGAAGATTAACAGAAGTCGACTCAAACTCTAAAATGTGGCTGGTTGATTTTTTTTTTAATGTTCAGAAACATCTTGTGAGAAAATAATTGATTCCAGATGCACACTGTTTATTTAAACTACTCTGCTCTGTGTTTCGCTTTGTGAGCTAAGCAACAGCCTTATTGTAACCCTCAGTGAAAATTTATTGCCTTAATAAAGATGAAATTATGTCTTTGTATATGTTTGAGATGCGCTTTAATTCACCAGCATTGAAAAAGCTAAATCTGATTAGCAGCATGGCTTTGTGCCAGTAAAGTGTTATTATATTTGTCTTTTTAGCTGAAGTATTGTAGTTTCCGGTCACTCCTTAAAGTCGGTACAATTTTATGTAGTTATTCTTTATTAAACCAGGGACATCTGACTCTCCAATTCCTTATGAAAGTGTCCTAGCCAGGATGCACAGGAGTTCAGTGAGCAATGTTTACTTGATAATACACAGTATGCATACAGAAATACATAAATGCAAACCAAAATGATAAACTTCAAAGCTAGATAAACATAAAACAAATGTACAGTCTCATGCAGCAACCTCCTTGTCATTTAAAATGACTTTGAATTTATTTACAAAGCACTCTAAAGATTATTTAGAGTGACAGATGTAGGTGAGATGGGGGGCGCAAAAACACAAGTAGCCGAGTCTATCCCTGGTGTTATTATACTGTTGGACACTATTCTACAAATTCTGCTGTCAGCAGGTATGTTCCACACTGAGGTGATATGAGATGTGCTATTATTATTATATTAAAAAGGACGTTTACCCTCTTTCAATTCTACAGTTTTCATATCAAGGTGTCATCTAAAGTTACACATTATTTATTTAATAAGACTGGTCAAAATGCAAAACCAGTGGGTGAAAAACAAACACCCCATTTTTCAGGAGTTTGTAGGACCCCCTTTATCAGGAATAATTTGAAATAAGAGTTTTCTGAATGACTGTCTCACATCATTGTGGAGGAATTTTGGCCCACCCTTCTTTACAGTGTTGCTTCAGTTCAATGAGGTTTGCTGGCATCAATTTATGCACAGCTCTCATGGTCCCTGCACAGCATCTCAATCAGGTTGAGAGCTGGACTTTAACTGGGACACTGCATCACCTTGATTTTTTTTTTCCCAGTCATTCTGAAATTGGCTGCTGTTCTTGAGATCAATGTCCTGTTGCATGACCCATTTTCAGACGAGCTGTCAGACAGACAGCCTCACATTTAACTCTAGAAAACTTTGGTATTCAGAGGAGATCATGCTCGACTCAATGAGCGCAAGGTGCCCAGGTCCTGTGGCTGTAAAACAAACCCAAGTCACCATCCCTTCATCACTGTGCTGACAGTTGGTATGAAGTGTTTGTGCTGAAATGCTGTGTTTGTTTTCCACCAAACTGCATTATAGCCAAACATTCAGTTTTGTCTTGTCTGTCCACAGGACATTGTTCCAGAAGTCTTGTGGTTTGTGCAATTTGCAAACATTAGCTGTGCTACCATGTTCTTTTTAGAAAGATGAGGCTCTCTCCCAAACAGGCCTTACTTGTTCAGTCTTTCTCTAACTTTGCAGTCATGAACTTTAATATTTAACATGCTAACTGGGGCCTGTCAAGTCTGAGATGTATCTCCTGGGGTGACCTTGGGGTGAATTTGCTGGGACGTTCACTCATGGGAAGTTTAGAGACTCTTGAATGTTTTCCACTTGTGAATAATGTTCCTCACTGTATAAATGATGAACTTCAAATTGTTTGGAAATGGCCTCATAGCCCTTCCCAGAGTGATGAGCAGAAACAGTTGCTTCTCTAAGACCCTTTGCTGACGTATTTCCTCTTTGGCATTGTGGCAACACACACCTGATTGCTCCAGACCTGCAAACTGCCAAAACATCTGCTTGTATAGTGGTGCTCAGTTAATACATTTAAACAGCATTCCTTGGCTGTAACTTACCCCCTTAATTCCTATAGAAGCAGGTTTGATGCACATGACTATATGTAAGCTGCAGGTATAGAATTTGATGAAAGTTACCAAACCCTCAGATGTCAGTCCTCTGCAGATGCTGCAATCAGCAGGGATATTCCACACACTGAGGTGACACAAAAATCACTTTGATGATCACTAAGGCCTTTATGTTAACATTTAATGGGCTATATTAAGAGCATATAAAGGGAAGTAAGGAACGTTATAAATTTCACACTATACACTAATGTCGATATACTTTTTTTTTTTACGCCTGTAAATTCAAGAATAACTTCTACAACAATTTTTCCTCTTCTACAACTATTTTAAAACCAACACTACACCAAAAGAGGGCTGACATTTTTAGGATCTGGGTACACTCCGCCATGATTCTGGAAAGTTATGACATGAATTTTATATCAGCGTGACAGAAGAAACCTCAGTTTAATATGTTTGGGAAATATTTTGCATAAGAGCTTTGCACAAATTCTTCCCTTTTGTGTTGCATCGAGGCGGCTGTGTCACAATGAAAGCTCCCTCTTACAAAAAGACCTTTGTGCTAAGAAAGGTCCACGGTGAACTGGACAATGCTTTACTCCCACTTTTAATTAACGCTATCAATAAAGTATCCATTATTATTATTATTATTATTATTATACATCTGTGAAGGAATTAACAAGAAATCATCCGGAGAGGATGTAGCTCAGTGATCGGTTTAGTTGTTTCAGATTTTCCAGGGTGCATGAAGGTGTCGTGCAGACAGGTTTATGCGCACAGGGAAATGTGTAGGACAAGGACATATTGTTCTTTTATAGCAGAAGCATGTGCATGTCAGCCTGTGCTCGTTCAATTGTTTCCAGATGTGCGCTCTCTCCTCTCTACCTCTCTTGCTCTCTCTCGCCCCCTTCCTTTCCCTTTTCTTTCATCTCCCACCAGACTCTTCCTCGCTTCGAAACCTCGTCAACATCCTCCTCCCGTACACATCCTGTATGTCATCGGCATTGGGTGCACCATACCCTATCGCCGTGTCTGTTACATTTATGACATGGACAAAAATAGTTTTGTTTGTCTGGATGTCTCGGAAATCTCCTCTCGGCCCAAAACACCAGGCAACTGTGGGCTCATGTAAGTGCTGAATTGCCTCATTGAGATTAAATTCCACTTTAAAACTGCTTAACTTATCTTTAGCCTCGGCTTCTTCTCATAAAGAAAAGCCCCACTCTGACTCTCTTAATCAATCAGCCTTGTGTTTACAACAAACCACCTCCATCAAGCATCTGATGATCTCTTACAGCCTCTCACACGACTCCTTTCACCACTGTAGTCCTCATATTCATTCTCCCGTGCTCCCCTGTGGCCCCTGTGTCCCTCCAAGACCTCACAGCACACACACACACACACACACATGGTTTTGATAACAAGTAGAGATGAACGGAGAGAGTGAGTGAGCAAAGGAAACAGTAAAAGAAAAACACAGAGGGTCACTCTTGCCAGTAAGTTTTACAACAGAGCCGTGACTCTCGTCTCAGGAATCCATTCCCCCTGTTGCACAACAACCGGGAAATAATGGAATGAGAGACAGAGACGCACGAGGGTGGAGCCATCCACACTCTCTGCCTCCTCATCTCCCTCTCTTACTCGGCCCCACTCTGGCCACTGCGGTTAAAAAGGGAGAGTGAGGGTACATTCAAGGCTTTTTGTTTTTTGAGGGGGGGGGTTGCCACAACTTAAGTATCACTTTTTCCCTCTTTCCCTCGGCGGAGGCTGGGGGAATGGAGCAGGGGGCACAGGGGTGTGTCATAGCACAGATGGGGCTCTATTTTGATTATGGAGCGTTTGTTGTTATGGGAGACAGAAGAAGGGGCGGGACAGCAGTGGCCCCTATATAAGACTTGTACTTAAACTCCAATGAGCCTGGTCATCCCATGGCCCATGCTCATCCAGAGACTGACAAAGTTGACCAACTCTGCCTTGTTATTACAGCCTCCACCGCTGACAGCTCTGCGTGGAATAACCTGTGATTACTAGACACTCAGCTGAGGACTTGAGATTTTATTATCTGGCTTACAACTTTTGGATTTACATCTTTTTTCCCCTTCTTTTGGCAGCCATTCACCATCTGTTTTGTTTTCATCATCTTTATAATCTCAGTTGCTCTGATCCCAACAATGAGAAGATGCTGAAACAGAGGGATTTGTGAAGAGTTTGGATTTTTAACTTTTTCACTCCTCTGCGAAAATCAAATCTGATGTTGAATTATTATAAATATAGTTCTTATAAATATATGCATGTCTGCATGCGTTTACATGTGTGTTTGCACAGTTACATTGGTATGTTGGTGCAGAACGGGGTGATATAACACTGGATGTGTTCCAAAGATATGGCATGTGTCCATTTTCTTGTTTGTTGTGAACAAGAAATAGAAGAAAACTTCCAGCTTTCTTGAATGCAACTAAATATTTATATTTTAAATGTGAGTTCTATAAGACTCATACTCCATACTATGATTTACTCATGAAAGTGGATCCTTTTGCGGTTTTCTCATTCATGGGAATGTTTATTTGAGATCATATTGTACAGGAGAAAAGTGAAAGGTGATACCTTTGTAGGAAAATGAAAGCATGAAACATGCAAATCTTAAAAGATCTAGTATACATATAAAACATACACGCTTACTATACTTTATTTCAATATAGGGACCCTTGTGATGTGAGAAGTGGTGTGCTTGATGCCTGTCACGTGTGCTGACATATTAAAGAGGGAACAGAGGGAGTATATTTAGAGCTGTCAGTTGAATTGCTATTTAAAGAACAGAAAGCTGCCACTCAGTTGTCGTCCGTTAACGACATGAAAGCGCACAGTGACAAAATCTGCGTCGTGTGATTCCGAGGCCCAAACAATGCACAGCGGGTGTTTATGTCTGGGAGTGCACGTGCATGTTCATAAGTGTGTGATTTGGTCATTTGTTATTCCTTGGTTTCACACTGCATACTTCTGGTTTTCCCTTACTTTGTGGTTTTCTTGTTTGTGTGGATGAAAGTGTACTTTCGCTGGGGCCAGCGGCTGCTTGGTTGCCTGTCTGCTTCCAGTCATGCGCCCAGAACTGTGACAACTTTATTGCACATTATTATTATTTCTTTGAATAATGGCTGGATGATCCCCGCACCTTGAAAAACAGTTAGTCCCAGGTGGGATCTCCTGTGACTGCTTAACCTGTTCAGTGTGAGCCTGTCTGGTTG